GATGCCAGCAGACCGCCGTTAGTTGCTTTACAACAGCTCATTATTCCACAGTTCAAACGGCCCACATTCCACTCACCAGGCGTCCGTCGTAAAACGCATCTTCGCCGCTCCATCATCAGCGCTGTATGCCGCTCGTGGATAAACAGCTCCCGCACGTCAGATTTACACACCTCTCGATCGGACGATGCCGACGGGGGGCGTATCGAGCAACTCTGTTTGGGGGGGGGGGGGGGGTAAAGACCGCACAAAGTGACGGTAATACACATGTCGCGCCGTCGTGTTGTTCCTTGGACAATGTTGCGAACAGCTCGACTTTTTCAACTGCCTCGAGAGCTGCTGCAGGAGTGTGCCATTCCGCTTGATGCGCCCTTGGAGGTGAAGACTCATCACCTGTTCCGATACCCAGCAAGACGCGCCCTCCACGGTTACGCAAGCCGCACTCGGCAGCCACGCTAGACACCGCCTGATGTATACGGCGCCGGCCCGCACCCTTCTCGTAACGAGCACACGCCGTCTCCACAGGCTGAACGTCTAGTGCAGCATTCGGTACTCTGATCTTGCCATTTGAGTTTTATGACGCACTCAACTTCTGTGGCTAAATGACGTCGCCTGCCTCATCCTGGCAGGCAGGGCCGGTACCGTGGGAGTGCCCCGACCAGGCACGTAGCCAGAGAGAAGGGGCACGGGAGGAGGGACGACCACTGATGATCACGACACCGCAGGGGCCTGATAAGGTGACGGTCGCCGACCCCAGGCCAGTCTGAGCCGCAGCTGCCGCTACCTCGAAGTCCTTGTCTAAAGTCCAATCCAAAGTCCGAGGGGGATCGACCAGCTGTCCATAAAACAGCGCCAAATCATAATGTCCAAAAAATGTATGATAATCAAGTAACTAATACCTAACTACCTACAGCCGATAGGAAACCCTGATCACTACTCGCGTGACTGCATTTTCCCCACCCTAATGGGATGAAAAGAAAGCAAAGGATGGTAGACAAGTAATTAAAAAATTGGCTATCGTGAAAACTTTCACAATTCATCATTCGCATCGATGTCCGGTAAGCTCGACTATCACTGAGCTCGAGGACGGCAGCTTAGTCGGATGACGAGTGGTAACGAATCGTGATCAGGTAAGAACGGAGCATCCCAGGCTTTCCTAAGACATAAACATCAATGTCCTATCAATGCCCGTTTTACAGAAGCTGTCTACGTCATATTTCAAAAATAAATATCCTCCGGTGACCTCTTTCAACGGCTTGTTAATGTTCAGGCATCAAGTTAACTTTGAAAACGAGCAGCGCCGAATAAGTTGAGATGCATACCAATGTGTGACGCTTCATAATATCTGATGTCCCAAAATTCCTTCGCTGTCCCTGTCCGTCTAAGTTCAATTTTTTAAAGTTTATTTATTAATTTCCTACTTAAATCATGTAATAAGTTTTTGGAACTCCAAAAACTTGGCATCCAATCGGCATCTTTATTGAGCCTGTGGAACTATTGCTACTAGTGCGCGCCAAACGACGCCCATAAACGAGTAAATATCTACGTACATTTCAGGAGATGCGTTCAGGGAACGAAATCGGTTCCCAGCTCGAGGATCACTCGAAACACCCACCAATACTGAGCTACCCCTTACGATGGTAATCCAAATATCACGGTCTTGTCAACTTTTGCACTGCAGATAACGCAGTGCCCGCGGCACAACACGCGCGTAGTCACAGCACAACATTGCCTTAGGTCGGCCACGGGGCGCACAGCCAGACATCAGACGTCAATGAAGTGCCGTCCAAGGACCATGCGTCCTTCCCATCTTGGGCTGTCACCAAAGAAAATTTGTTCCAAACTACAGTCGCACCAACTACAAACTACAAGCTACAGCCCAAACTACAGTCGTAAAAAATAAACGAGCTCGAACAACGCGAGCAAATATAAAATAACTTGAATCGACTCCCTCGTACGTAAATTTCGTACAGCGCTGGTACGGTACTATCCCGCCCTTCGCATTGAGAGCCAGGTTCGTTAGTTTTTTAGCCTGACTGGTTGGCCATACATCACGGCATTTCGGGAAACCAGACCGGCGTATGGAACGAGAGCGACGACCTTGAATTCGCTCTATCGGCGGCTCAAGCAGGAGTTTATGCTCGGCTTTCACATCGCATCTCATATAGGCTGTATTGATAGCACTTGCACGTGCAACGAGGGTCCGCTGGTTCCCAACTGGGCTGCAAGTGTATGCTTGTATATATGACACATCATATTTCTCATTACCTCATATCTCAATCGCTCATTATACTTCTACACCCACGCACACACCCCACATCTATAATGTACATACCACACACTTAGCCACGGGTGCAACCAAGGTAGCACACTGCCAGCCGTCAGGTGCAGTATTTAGAACTACTGAAACCTATATGATTTGCAATATGATATCTGACCACATTGTCAGCTCATTCCGCCATTGTTCAAACGTCTGCAACGCTTCGGAAAGCATCTATTTAATATCACGGAACACCTGAAATCGGCTCCTTTCCTAAACGTTCCTTGGGAAACATAGATGCAAAGCGACTACCGTCATGCGCCGACGAAAGACACGCACGGAGACAAAGCGCTCTATTGCTACGTCATCGTCCTATGAAGTAGCAGTGGAGCGCTTTCCGTCTCCTGACTGCGAAATTTCACGTTTATGACTGTTCGGCCGGAAAGATTAACCTCACGAGCGTGAAATTTTCACCGTCCAGGCTGGTGCAGACGCCCGGCTTTCACATGACGTCACATTTATGCAAACTGGGCCTGTAAGGTGGCAGTATGATAACACACCGTCTTCAACCTTTGCCATTTGTTTTGCGTTTTGTGGCTTTTGAGCCAGAACAATTCATGTTAAAAGATCACATTTCTGCAGCCCACATTATTTGCACAAAGGGATGTGACACGGCGGCGTTCTGGCGCTAACCAGTCAGTTCACCTTAAGTGTGGTATTGATGGCCGATTCTGTGATTTGTTTTTCCCGGCTCACAACGGGGTGGATACCAATTTTGAGACGAAGCTCCCTTAAAGCGCTATAATTCTACACAAAGGCGGCATAAAGCCACCTATACATTTCACCTTCGGGTTGAACACGAACGTCGAGCTTGAGCTTCGCTTTTTGGCACATGGACTAGAGCTTGTACTTCGACTGCACATGAAGCTTGACCTGCATAACTTGGACTTTGTCTTTACACACCCTCACAGTTTTTTCTGCGGGATTGCTTGATGGCAAAAGGTGGCGTTTCGGAAGCTCAGGTTAGAATGGATCCTAGCTTTCACAAGTCACCTTACTTTTACAATGTGCACCATACAGCGGCAACACGGCGCTTTCACAGGGCACCTTACTTTTACAATGTGCACCATACAGCGGCAACACGGCGCTTTCACAGGGCACCTTACTTTTGACAATATGCACCATACAGCGGCAACACGGCGCTTCCACAGGGCACCTTACTTTTGACAATGTGCACCATACAGCGGCAACACGGCGCTTTCACAGGGCACCTTACTTTCGACAATATGCACCATACAGCGGCAACACGGCGCTTTCACAGGGCACCTTACTTTTACAATGTGCACCATACAGCGGCAACACGGCGCTTCCACAGGGCACCTTACTTTCGACAATGTGCACCATACAGCGGCAACACGGCGCTTTCACAGGGCACCTTACTTTTGACAATATGCACCATACAGCGGCAACACGGCGTTTTCACAGGGCACCTTACTTTTACAATGTGCACCATACAGCGGCAACACGGCGCTACCGTGTTCTCTGACTGAGTGTGACTTTGAAATTCTCACTCCACCTGCGCCTCTTGAAAGCCCGGCCTATAATCGGCGCTTGGGCTTTATACATTACATTTGCGCGGATCGCTTTCATAGAGTAGTCGCACCGCGTTAAACCGTCCTTTTGATGTCGTCACGCTGCATGCACGGCTGTTTGGCCTAAACTCTCATTGAACTATGCCGTTTATGCAGTCCACATTGGAATGGATGCATGGTTTTCATAGGTGAAAATCGGTCCCACAGAGTTGCATGACAACGCTTCCCATCGTTCGACTTTGCTTTCGACAATTTTCGACACTGAATGTTGGCTTTTAGAAAATACATTCTGCGTCCGCCCTGACTGGGGCACCGTATTTTTCATAATACTTTCATGTGAGAGGCAAATGGCTTGATTTCGTCCTTTTAACTCACCATGTCATAGGTCACAGAAAACATCATGTGATGGACAACGTACCGCATGTTCGTAAACTAATGGGACTGTCTAATCCATAGTCGCCTTCTCACCGAATCGGTGCTCGGCGTCGAATTCGAACACCAATGCGCTGCAAGCTTACTGAGCGCTGGGCTTCATCCCAAAGGCCGACAGTGACATCTATGCGCCGGCCGCAGAACTGCACCTAACACGCGGCTCAGCATTCAGCATTAAAATGCTCGGAAACGTTTCCTTCTCGCTTGTTACGGTGCTGCTTCAGCGTGGAGGGTTCTTTTCACAAAGCATGACGCGCGCGGCTGGTTCGAAGCAAGGCACAGGGCAAATCGGATTTCAACACACGCTGCCCTATACATCATGCCACAAAGGAATAACTCAAGCACAGGCAGTTATACCGACGGTCCCAAAGGAAAGCCGAAGGAAACGTGCTGCATGCAAAACATTAGCGATTATCCTGCATACACGCCACCGACCACTCACCAGCAACCCGTGCAACAGCATGGCAATCCGCCTCCAGAACATTCGAAAATACAATCAATCAGCGAGGTCGAAGCGACAGCCCTGCATCGCTCGCAACCTGATCCCGTGGCTATCCATTGCCAACGTGTGAACATCAATGCCAATATACCACTACCTCGCCGTGGTACGGCATCATCAGCGATGTTGTATCAACCATGCATCTGCGTTTCCCTCCACTCCGATGATCGATTATCGCCATTAAGCCGTGTTCTACCATCGCAAAACACAGACGTGTTGATAGCTTTATATTTCGTCAGTGCGGTATGACCGCGGAGCAGTTGATGCTCCAAATAGTGAACTCGTCGGACAACATAGGGTCGGATCAACACACGCGTTCAGCACATCGTTTCCGAGGCACACAGCTGAGAAGTGAAAACCCACTACGGACTTCGTCGGGAAAGGGACACCACTCCACTAAAACTGCGCTCCCCGTGCCACTTTGAACAGCGTGTCCCTCGAGCCACATTGGTAAGGTATGGAGCACTTGCACTTAATGAATAACTCCTTGATCGAGGCAAAAGATGACCATACCAAAAAATAATACGCGGCTCCATTTCACGTTTCAATGCAATATGATTGCGTTCAAGGGAGTGTGCTCTGTTCCTTTCACATGGGTGATCTAGAAAGGGTGACACCTTGCGCAGCACGGTCTTCGTGACGCCAACGAGGATTCAGCACGCACCGGTGCACAAAAGGCGGTGCAAATGCAGCAACTGTATGCAGCGTGGGCTGTGCAGCTGGTCAAGGCACCACAATCCGAACTGTATCGGCGATCGGCAACGCAGGCATGCAGCCTTGGACCCAATGCGGAGCAAAAACAGCACACACCAGTTTCGAGGCCTCAATGAACTACATCAGACCAATAGCTGGCAGTCATTTAGCACCGTGGGTGTCGTTCAGCGATCCGCCAGTCGCCAAATCACCGATGACGTCACGGCAACCGCGCGATCTAATTACCGCTGTCACACTTTCTTCGACCGGAGGGCACCCTCCTGATTGCGTCAGACCACCCGCACAACCCAAAAACGCGCGAACGAACGGCACCACCCTCTGCAATACGCTATCACTTCCTGCGCTTCTTTTTGTTGCCGGTAGGTGGCGCGCGCGCATTCGGGTTGCGCCGCTCCCAGTTGGGCACGTGCCTGAGGCGGGCGTTCCTGCCGAGCTGGGCGGCGCGCGAGTTGACGTCGTTGAGCGAGAACGGCGATCCGCCGGCCACGAAGTCCTCCGACAGGATGGCGTTCTGGGCCTGCCGGTCCGCGGAGAGCGGTCACGACGGGCTGCGCAAGCTTCGAGGCGCACCCGGGCGGTTACACCGAGACCAGTCTTCTTCTGGATCCACAGAGACCTAACCACGGCGTCTTTCTAGGACTGAGGTACAAACTGGGTTGAAAGCGTTGCTGTCTGACGGAGCTACGGGCCACAGCGCACGAGAGGGACGCCGGCCTGCCCTAAACACCACTCTATCCCCAATGCTATTCCCAGAAAAGCCAGCAATTTAATTTATCGTTGGAAGAGATGACCACGGCACGTACCGCCCGGTGGCCAAAGCGCGGAAGAGGCGCCTCTCTGACCTGGGAACGGGCGGTGGCGCGTCGCTGCGGCACCGGCTGGTCCTCGCACAGGATCGGAGACACCGAGTACTTGCCGCCGCGCGGCAGCGGCAGCGAGAACTTGGTGCCCCGCTTGCTGATCTCCTTCCGCGTCGAGATGTGGATCTGCTGCGTCCCGTCCGGCCTGTCGGCACACGCGTCACGCTTTGAGTGAAGGTGGCAATGTACTGATCAAGATGCGGTGAACGGTGATCAATATAACGTTACTGCAAGAGATGCTATAACTTAACTACTAACCTCAATTCAGACTTCTTCCCGAAAGTTTACTGATAATGATTTCTGCCGACTTTTACCATGGCAAATGACACACAACACACCAGTGTGGTCAGAGGTTACTTCTATGCATCGCACTGCCCCCTCGAATTTTCGGAAAGTCTCCCAACTCCACACCATTGTCGCCCAGCCCCCTCCCCTCCCCCGCGTACCGCAACGTGACGGCTACACGCTTGAGCGTCTTGTTGCCACACCACGGGCAGAACGTCTTGTCCATGCGCGGCGTGGTCTGCATGCAGCCGAAGCAGCGCAAGATGAAGCGACGCGCCTGACTGATGCGCCGGCCTTCCACCGACACCATCTCCAGGTTCATCTTTTTCAGTACGTTCTGCATGGTGAAGTCGGTCGTCATGCAGGCAACCTGTGGGACAGGGCCGCACACAGAGCCGTCAGTTGGTGTTCCGGCACGTGACATCCAGTCGTAACATGACGTTCGGACATATTATGGGATTTAGGAATCGGGAGCAGAAAACCATACGTTTCTGTGGGATTGTATCAATAGTTCAACATTTGCTTCGAGGGCATGCCATTACTGCCATGTACCATTATGAGCAATAATCGTGCATTATGAGTCAGAACCGTGTGGCCCGGGTAGCGACTTTAATCTCTTCCAAACTTCCAGAAAAAGAAAATCGGAACATGACCGTCACTGTTCACAAAGTCAACTGGGAGTATGCAAGTGTTGTTGACACCCCATAACAAATGCATAGGAGCAGTACTACGCAATAGGACTCGTCCATCACGAAAACAACAGCAACAAGCTGCATCGTAGCTCAAAAAGCTGCAAAACAAGCCTGCTCATCCTGTGTCTGGAATGGTCACCATGGCAGCAAAACACTGCGCACATACCTTGACCGGTTCTTCCGTTTCGCCAGCCTGCGCGCTCAGTGTGGACTTGGCTGCCTGAATGTTCCCGGGCGTTATCCAGCCGCCGTCGTCGCCGTCACTGCCGTCGCCATCGTCCCCGCTCGCATCGTCGACACCGTCGCTAGCCTCGTCCCCAGTGTCGTCGTCGGGCGTCTCCTTGGCGTCAAACATCTCCTCGCTGGGCGGATCGTCGGCGTTCTCGGCCGCGTCCTGGTCGGCCGCACCGCCCCCGCCAGCGTCCCTCCACTCATCAGCCGGGTCCGCCCCGCCGGAGTCTCCGCCACCGCCGTCGTCGCCGCGCCCCTCCGTCGGCGCCGCCTCGCCGCCGTCCTGCGGTGAGCCTTGGCCTGGCGCGCCGTCCTCCGTCTCCGGCGCGCCGCCCTCCGTCTCCGGCGCGCCGCCCTCCGTCTCCGGCGCGCCGTCCTCCGTCTCCGGCGCGCCGCCCTCCGTCTCCGGCGCGCCGCCCTCCGTCTCCGGCGCGCCGTCCTCCGTCTCCAGCGCGCCGTCCTGCGCGGCGTCGACGGCCAGCTGCGCCACCTGCTGCGTGACGAAGCCGACCGGCAGCTGCGCGCCGCCGCCCTGGCGCGGGTGGGTAGTGGTGCAGCTGGGGGCGCGCGTCGGCCGGTGGCCGCAGGCGCAAGTGCGCCGCGCCCACCGTCTCGCGCGTCACCTGCAGCGTCAGCGCCAGCACGCGCACGTCCGTCAGCGAGAGGAAGCGGAAGTCACCCGTCTCCCTGGCGAAGTCGGAGATGATGCGGACGCATTCGTCGCTCGGCTCCCTCAGCTTCAGGTCATACGGCAGCACCTGAAGACGCTCGCGCGTCGCCTTATCGCGGATCTCGGCCACCACGTCCGGCACGGTCAGCACCTCGTGCGCCATCTGGTGCAGTGGCACATTGCGCAAGAAGGCCGCCGAGTCAGCGACCAGTTTGTCGATGTATGGCTCTGTGATCATCCTGAAGCTTGTCTTGACTGGAAGCTCTGCAGAAGCTGAGGAGAGCAGAAGTAAAAAAGTGGTGATGGTGATCTTACGTAACTCAAGATTCAACTCACATCCTTCATGTTTTTTTTCTACTGAAAATGAGCCATGAGACTGAGAGATATCTGGCAGCTTTGGAATCCTTGTTCACACAAAATTGTGATTTTCTCAAGCACAAATAATTTGAAGTTTCAGCAGTGCGCAGCCTGGCCAGTGCTGTTTTATGTGTTATGCCATTGCATGGGTGTCTGATGCAATGGATAGTTTTTTCCCTGACTGGCATGTAGGTAGTGATTTCCCAAATTATACACCAATTGAAAAAAAAAATCATTACTGGGTTGCCACTGACTCAAATGCAGTCTAAATGATACCGATGCACTGACAGTGATAGATTAAGGGATCATGCTGAGGATATACACATTTGTTACCAATCCCACCCACAGCAAATCATCCACCATGCAAGACACTTACATGACAGTGTGCTAAGCCTGAGGCATGCATCCAAACTCAGGCCACACTACACTGTTTTGAATTTCAACTTACTTTTGCTGAAGAAAACTTTTGAGCCTTTGGCTCAAAATTTATTTAACAACATCATTACTCCTTGACACATCAGTTCCTTATGCAGTGAAGTTCATGACAGCCATGCATAAAACTCCGGGCAGCCAGATTTATGATGTGCATGCACTTTGCCATGCATTTTACATGTTACACATATTTCATGCAGTCTGGCTGCTTCCCAGATGGCTTCAATAAAATATACTGGTAGCTGAATCACATTCCATGAAGAAAAAATGCAGCTCAATGTTATTCTTTTTTTCTACTGTCCTGAGCATACTCCACTATGGGTCAGGGTGTACTTTCCTACCTAACGTTAGAAAAGATCATTGTACACCATTCGTCGTGTTTAAGGCAGGACATATCGTAAATAATCTCAAAACAGGTAGAATCATGCTCCTACCTTCGAATTTCAATAACTTCGATGGCGGGCTCCCGAGCGCCGCGCGCACCGCAACCGCCTGGACTCCCCAGCGCCGTTTCTGCGTTGCCGTTTGCGTAAATACAATATTTCTGCTTACCAAGAACTCTACAAAATGTACGGGACCAAGGTAAACCATTCGTCGTGTTCAAGGCAGGACATATCGTAAATAATCACAAAACAGGTAGATTCATGATCTTACCTTCAATTTTCCATAATTACGATGGCGAGCTTCCGACGCGCCGCACACACACAGCACCCCGCGACACCGGCGCCAATACTGCGCGGGTCACAACATTACTGCGCATCAAGCAGCATCAAAAACCATAAAATGTACCGGGCCAGGCTAGGTTAGGTTAGGTCAGGTCAGGTCGGGCCAGGTCAGGTCAGGTCAGGTCGGTTCAAGTCAGGTCAGGTCAGGTCAGGTCCCAGGTCAGATCAGGTCAGGTCACGGTCAGGTCAGGTCCAGGTCAGGTCAGGTTCAGGTTAGGTTAGGTTAGGTTAGGTTAGGTTAGGTTAGGTTAGGTTAGGTTAGGTTAGGTTAGGTTAGGTTAGGTTAGGTTAGGTTAGGTTAGGTTAGGTTAGGTTAGGTTAGGTTAGGTTAGGTTTAGGTTAGGTTAGGTTAGGGTAGGTTTAGGTTGGTTAGGTTAGGTTAGGTTAGGTTAGGTTAGGTTAGGTTAGGTTAGGTTAGGTTAGGTTAGGTTAGGTTAGGTCAGGTAACTTAGCTTAGCTTAGATTCTGGTCTATTCTCAGTTAGGTTAGGTTACATTAGGTAAGGTTAGGTTAGGTTAGGTTTGGTTAGGTTTAGGTTAGGTTAGGTTAGCTAGTTTAGGATATGTTCTGGACTATTCTGGCCTGTGTGTTTCATAAATGTACCTAAACTCGATAAGAAACGATTTTGGTTGCTTTATTATTGTCACATTGGTCCCATACATGTTTTATGATTCTTGATATGCAGAAATATTGTACTTTCGCAACAACACAGAAACGGCGCTTGGGAGTCGAGGCGGTGCGGTGCGGTGCGTGCAGCGCTCGGGAGCTCGCTATCGTATTTATTAAAACTCGAGGGTAGGAGCATGATTCTATCTGTTTGGAAATTATTTACAATATGTTCTGCCTTAAACACGACGAATGGTTTACCTTGGTCCCGTACATTTTGTAGAGTTCTTGGTAAGCAGAAATATTGTATTTACGCAACGGCAGCGCAGAAAACGGCGCTGAGGAGTGCAGGCGGTGCGGTGCGCGCGGCGCTCGGGAGCCCGCCATCGAAATTATCGAAATTCGAAGGTAGGAGCATGATTCTACCTGTTTTGAGATGATTTACGATATGTGCCGCCTTAAACACGACGAATGGTGTGCAATGATTTTTTCTAACGTTAGATAGGAAAGTACACCTACACCTCACTATGAGACACCCACAAGATCTGGTGGTCAGGGTGTACTTTCCTACCTAACGTTAGAAAAAAGCATTGTACACCATTCGTCGTGTTTAAGGCATGACATATCGTAAATAATCTCAAAACAGGTAGAATCATGCTCCTACTTTCGAATTTCAATAACTTCGATGGCGGGCTCCCGGGCGCCGCGCGCACCGCACCGCCTGGACTCCCCAGCGCCGTTTCTGCGTTGCCGTTGCGTAAATACAATATTTCTGCATACCAAGAACTGTACAAAATGTACGGGACCAAAGTAAACCATTCGTCATGTTTAAGGCAGGACAACCATAACCTAACTGCGAACCATAAAAATATTTACTAAACATAAACCATATTTACCATAACCATATTTACCATATAAACCATATTAACTGCGAACCATACTATAAACCATAACTATAACTATAAACTATACTATATAAACCAAACTATAACTATAAACCATGTTTACTGCGAACCATAAAAATGTACCGGGACAAGGTAAGCAAGAATCCATGAAATTTGATCCTCGACGGCCAACGGGACCATGGGTTGCAGGGGGATTGGGTGGGGAATATAAAGCAAAATGAGAACATGACAGCTAAATAAAAGCTCACTATATGGCACCTATATATGGCATGGAACATGGATGCCAATGAGATGCTGAGTTGAAGGGGATATAGGGTGGGGAGGTTAGGTTAGGTTAGGTTAGGGTTAGGTTAGGTTAGGTTAGGTTAGGTTAGGTTAGGTTAGGTTAGGCTAGGTCAGGTCAGGTCAGGTCAGGTCAGGTCAGGTCAGGTCAGGCTAGCTTAGCTTAGCTTAGCTTAGGTTCTGGTCTATTCTCAGTTAGGTTAGGTTAGGTTAGGTTAGGTTAGGTTAGGTTAGGTTAGGTTGGGTTAGGTTAGGTTAGGATATGTTCTGGAACTATTCTGGCCTGCATGTTTCATAAATGTACCTAAACTCGATAAGAAACGATTTTGGTTGCTTTATTATTGTTATCTTGGTCCCGTACATGTTTTATGGTTCTTGATAAGCAGAAATATTGTGCTTTTCGCAACAACGTAGAAACGGCGCTTGGAAGTCGAGGCAGTGCGGTGCGGGGCGTGCGGCACCCGGGAGCTCGCTATCGTATTTATTAAAATTCGAGGGTAGGAGCATGATTCTATCTGTTTCGAAATTATTTACGATATGTTCCGCCTTAAACACGACGAATGGTTTACCTTGGTCCCGTACATTTTGTAGAGTTCTTGGTAAGCAGAAATATTGTATTTATGCAACGGCAACGCAGAAACGGCGCTGGGGAGTCCAGGCGGTGCGGTGCGCGCGGCGCTCGGGAGCTCGCCATCGAAGTTATTGAAATTCGAAGGTAGGAAGCATGACTCTACCTGATTCTACCTGCGTATTTATTAAAATTTGAGGGTAGGAGCATGATTCTATCTGTTTCAAAATTATTTACGATATGTTCCGCCTTAAACACGACGAATGGTTTACCTTGGTCCCGTACATTTTGTAGAGTTCTTGGTAAGCAGAAATTTTGTATTTATGCAACGGCAATGCAGAAACAGCGCTGGGGAGTCCAGGCGGTGCGGTGCGCGCGGCGCTCGGGAGCTCGCCATCGAAGTTATTGAAATTCAAAGGTAGGAGCATGATTCTACCTGTTTTGAGATGATTTACCATATGTGCCACCTTGAACACGACGAATGGTGTGCAATGATTTTTCTAACGTTAGGTAGGAAAGTACACCTACACCAGATCTGGTAATGTATCTCGCTCAAAATGTCAGAGCAAAGTGGCAGGCAGCTACCAGGCAATATCGCTACCCACTACCAACTGGTATTTTTTGGTCCTAGGTGGTCATTTCTTATAACCTCATGTTAATATGCAGTCCTGGTAACAGGCCCATCACAAGAAAAACATGCACTTTTGCACATTGGACATCACATCCTCCAATTGGTTTACAAAAAAGGTTTGTTGCAGACCCAATCTTTGTTTCATCACATACAATACATCTGCTTCCAGCCTTTAAAAGTACACATTTCTTTGCATAAACCATGGCTGCAACAATTGTGGCACGTATGGCCATCATGGGAACACAGTTGTAACAAGTCAGAGATAATGGCAACGTGATCGTAACGTGACATACTAGCTGCCTCGTCATGGCGAACAGTACCCAGCCCCAAACTGTCAGAAATATCATCCGGGATACTTACTAGTTCAGGACACAGACCTCTCAGGCAGAACAAGATAAACCATATACAGCACACGCGACGAAACCACCGATCCCTTCCATACGCACGCATACCACTTTCGCACCCGCCCGACTGCTGTCCCACGCAAGCACGGGGTCTTAGACGATGTGAAACATTAGTGTCACATATGTCCCGAGATGGTGCTACCATATCGTCCCTCCGGTAGGCGATTTACTCACTCTGGTAGTGCTTTCTCTCCATGCTGACGAACCGATAGAAAATTTTGGCAGCAGCGCCAGCCGGCGCGTGACGTAAAAAGCTAATTGACTGTGACTCATTGACGTAGAGAAAACACTGGTTGTTGGTGCTGAAACATGGTGTTGGTGCTGACGACAGATCGAACGCAGCCTTAATGAACATCCGACGCTTTTTTTGCCACGGTCATGGAGAATGTGGCGCCCCCCGATTCCACACGCATTTGTCCTCAGACTGCTGGCCCGTTTGCAACAGCCTCGTACATTTGGGAACCACCTCAGCGCCACGTAATAGCTACTCTGAAGGCGGCACTTTCAAACTGCACATCAACATTGTCGCTACTTCTTCGATGTTTTCCCGAAGGGCGTCCGTCGCAGTCGCGGAATGAAATAAAACGGATGCTGTCCCCACCTCATCGCCACTCGCCAAACACCGAAATCATTGCATGCATGGGACATGAGTTAACTTGGCTGCTCCCTGTGCAGTATCACGTCTCAGAGATATCATCTAGTTAACGTGTATTCTGAGTGACGGACAGATAGACGTAGGAAGATGGAAACATGCCGTATTTGGAAGAAAGCTATCAACATATCCAGACACGTGCGATGTCAGTAAAACACATAGCCACACCAGAAAACAGATGACAACCGGCAGCGCATCCAACAGCAGCATAAGACCCGCCTCCGCGGGATTCAGCCTACCGCACGAGGCCAATTTCGGCCTACTGCAGACGTGAGCGTGGTTTCAGACGCGTGTCTCAGTGCTGCACGTCGCACAGGCTGGATGGCGCCACCGCAGCGGAAGAGACATATCGCACAGTAACGGCTGTCGGGACCCAGCGTCGGCGCACTGCGCGGACAGCGGGGCCGGCGCGGCCGTGCGCCTCGGCGGGGTGTGGTCAGTCACACCGTCGCCCGTCCAGTCGCCAGTTCACCAGCCATCCATCTGACCTATCAAAAACACCTCAGGTCCACTCTCAGCACCAGTCCACTATGGCGGCCGACCGGCCGGCCCGCGGCGTCCCGAGCTGCGACCGACGGCGGCCGCTCGCCCGCTATGGCACCGCTCGCTCCGACCGACGGCGGCACGTCACTTCTTGCGGGAGCGCAGGCTGCGCGTCACCACCTTCCGGGGCGACACGTGCTTCTCGGCGATCTGAAACAGTCGGCGGGCGTCAGGCAGCGCCAGCGGTGCCGCGGCGTACCTGTCACACACCGCACACCGATGCGGGCGTCAGACAGCACTGACTGTGCCGTGGCACACCGGTCACACACCGCACACCGATGCGGGCGTCGGACAGCAATGACTGTGCCGCGGCACATCGATCACACACCGCTCGCATCACACATATACATATTTGTGTTATTATATACCCCATGCTTACAAACATTTGAGTACGCGCTTAAAACGAACTTAATCCGTTACCAGTCTTCACTTACGAACAATTATAGCGTACATAACTATCATACAACCTTTTAATGTGAATAGTCGACATACGTGCTCTATACAATACGAACATCTGCATACAAACTTTTGCATACATTCCACTTCCATGCGAACTCAATGACTCACGTACATTTGCTGACGCTTAATTGCGTAGGTACTTAATTGCGCATACTATTTTTCCATCCGACCTATCATCATTGTGTCGCTGTCTCCATTTGTACGCACTTTTTCACATGTACAGTTGTCTCAAAGCATAGTTTTAGTGTTCACTCCATTTAGTTGGGTCCATAATACCATTTTCTCCTGTAGCATCTAACTGGTGCTACACTCCTAAGAACAAGACAATAGTGTTATTACGATTCAATAGGAATATAACTCAATTTCGTGAAAAAGGTCGAACGCGGTGTAAAATGATTCCTCCGCGCTACATGACGTGCGCCGAGGGTGCATAACGCACCCCTGCAACGCCGCTGGCCGATTCCCTGCCGTTGCGTCTCCTGGAAAATAAATAGCGGAGAGGAAAACCCTATCGTGGTGATGACGTTGGTACTAAATCTGAACTAAGGAACACTGGCCACCCTAAGCCACCCAGTAGTCCACAGCAAGACCACTTATGGAACCCAAACGCCCCGCAAGCAAGCTGCGGCGCGCGTCACGCTGGAGGCGTGCCCCCCCCCCCCCCCCTGACTGCCCACCTCCACCGGCGAGCACTGCAGCATCTGGTCGGAGCAGCGCTTTGAACAGCTTGCGCTTGGGTGGTGGTGGACTTGGCGGGCCGGGCCGGCGGCGCCTGGTCGGCTGGCGTCGTCGGCTGCGTCTCGGTGATGGCGTCCAGCGGCGCTCGCGACCGACTGCTGCGAGACACCGACGAACCGCTGCCGGCCGACGGACAGCTGTCACGCCGGGCCACCGCGGGGACGACCACGGCGGTCACACACACACACACACACACACACACACACACCAACACACACACACACACGCACGCACGCACGCACGCACGCACGCACGCACGCACGCACGCACGCACGCACGGGGAACGTGCGTAACGGGAAGCTGGGAGGCTTGGTACACGCGGCACCAGGGGCACAGGGACGCATAATTAACATCGGGACTGTCATGCTCCTCGCTCTGCCTTCATGAACAGTCGAGTAAAGCTGACAGCTGAGTAAGGCTGTCACCAGCGGTGGTAAGATCACCGGCTCTCTGGATGTTGAGGGAGTGAGGCACGACAGACAGGGAACGTGAAGGGGAGCTGGGAGGCTTGGTACACGCGGCACCAGGGGCACAGGGACGCATAATTTGCTATCTACCGGACGACTCAGCCGATAAGACAGGGCTGTCTGGTACATAACGATTCGCGATCCAGTACATATCAACCGTTGCCAGTTACTGGCACATAGCCATAAGCGATCGTCAGCGCGTGTGTGCTGCGGGCAACAATTCGAAACGACCAAGCCGATAAAGCAGCGTCGTTTGGAGCCGCGACCTGCAGCACACTTCTACCGGCCGCCGCTAATCGGCGCCACTCACGCATCGGACGCGTCCGGATCGTCGTTCTCGTCGGTGAAGTGGACCGCCGCCCTGGTGGTGCGGCGCGTGCGCCGCTGGGAGGCCGGCGGCTCGTCGTCGCCGGTCTGGTCGGCGTCCTGACCGGCCGGACGGGCTCAGCGTCAGCCAGGCTCAGCTCATCAGCACAGCGCGGCACCGTCCACACATGAAGAAGGCCAGCTGGCGGACCCGAGCAATTCCAAATCTCGATCGTTGCATGCAACACACTACTCTAAACAATCCTGATTTCGTCGGTACGCAGACCGCCGGCGAACCTGTACGTCGGGGTGGGCTCACCTGGCCTTCGACGTCGGAGGCGGCAGCGGCGCGCGGGGGCCGCCGGCCCGTGCGCCGGCCGGAGCGAGGTCGGCTCGGCAGGACCATCGGCGTCACCTCGGCCTCATCGCCGTCCGTGCCGGTCACCTGACGGCGCGGGCGGGGTCAGACAGGGCGCGGGTGGGGTCAGTCAGGGCGCAGGTGGGGTCAGGCAGGGCTCGGGCGGGGTCAGGCGGCGCTCGGGCGGGGTCAGGCAGGGCGCGGACGGGGCCAGGCGGGGCTCGGACGGGATTAGGCGGGGCGCGGGCGGGGTCAGACAGGAGGGGCGCGGACGGGGTCAGGCAAGACGCCGGGCCATTGAGACACAGCGGTCACGGCGCCAAGCGCGGAGCAGCTGCGCTCGACGCCACAGCGGCGCCACTCGTCGCGCGCGCCGGAAACTTCAGCCCGCCCAGCCGGGGTTCCGGTGGGATCATTAACAGCCGAGGCGAAATATGTCACCAGTCAGCAAGCACAGCGCAGGGGTGTCCGGGCACACCCGGCCGTACACAGCCGCCGCAGCAGCCAGCCAGCCCGGGGACGGACGATCGCCAGGCTCCGTCGGCACGACCCCGCCCCGGCGTCCCCGTCCCACACACAGCCGTCGCCACCGTCCGCCCACCTCAGCCACGATGTCGACGGAGGGCGCGCGGGGGGACGGCGCGGACGCGGCGTGGGCGTGGGCGTGGGCGTGGAGGCGGCCAGCGAGGCCATGTCGTCGCGGCAGGAGCGCAGGCGCGCCTCCAGCTGCTCGATCCGGTCGTTCTTGCGTCGACTCTCGGCCCTGGCGACGTCCAGCTCCGCCTGGCGCACAGAACACGCCGCACGGATCCGGTGGGGTGCTGACACTGGGGTCGGCGTCAAACGGGACCATGCGCTTGCTTCACCAGTGGAAAGGCTGTCGCAGGTCAGAGACGTGCGAGTTATGGTGTGCCTGATGCGCAGCACCACTGCGGTGTGTGTGTGTGACGTTAATCACCAGCGAATGTATCGAGCTTCTGTTCGAAATCCGTACAAGCTGATGAGACTAATTCAGCACACGCCGGTAACGTAACCAACTAGCACTTGTGTCGCCGCAGAGCCGTTTCTTAGCTAGCATTGCTGCAGTGTAAATCAATCCAGCAAACGACCAATGCTCCTACCCAAACTGGATCAAACGAAAGGACGCACGGCACATTCAGCTGCGCATCAAAGCATCTTCATCGTCAGAGGACGCACAGACGACTCGTAGGGGCACGCACAGCGGCATTTCTGACTTGCCATTCGGCGGGATACAGACCATGTCACTCACGAACATTGCGACGGGCACAGGTCAAGCCTGGCTCAACAAGACACGTCGCACACGCACGCCACGCCGCTACAAGCGCCGTCGTCAGCAAGCGGCGAACACGGCTGTCTGTGCACCAGCGCCGCGCCGCTGGCGGCGCCCGCTCGCCGGCACGTCCCGCGCTCGCCGTCGCGCGACGCGCTCGCGTCACTCGGGCGGCCGCGCGGCGCGGCTCACCTTCAGCGTCGAGGACGACTTGGGCGTGAGACGCGCCATCATGTCGCGCAGGTGCGAGCTCTCGTGGCGCTCGCGGTTCAGCTCGTCGTTCTTGCGCCGCATGTTCTGCTCGGACATCTGCATCAGCCGGCAGCGCTCGTCGCGCACCTTCTGCAGGTCCTCGTCCTACGGCCGTCCCGAGCAGCGCCGGTGAGAGCGGGTCGCCCCGCTCGCCCCGCACAACGACAACGGCGCCGGCGTGGCGGACGCGACACCGAGGCGAGACGAGGTCGAGAGTGGACATTGTGCTTAAGTATATTTGGCGACACACTTTGAAAGAGCATGGAATTGCATTCGGGGAACAAAAGCCCCAAACGGGCCAAGGACATCCCCCACAGAATAGTGTTTCACCTTTTCCGTCAGCTTTCCTTTGAGCATGTCGATTTGTATGTTGAGCTTGAGCAGTTCGTTGGAGCGCCTTTCCAGTTCATCCCTAAGGTGACTGGTCTCCGCATCGGACCGCTCTAGCTGGCTCGGAGGTCGGTCACCTGCGGTCACAGGCGCACGTCAGCGGCGGCCAATCAGCAGCGAAGTGACGTCAGCGGCGGCCAATCAGCAGCAACGTGACATCAGCACCGGCCAATCAGCAGTGAGATGACGTCCGCAGCTATCATTAACAGGACACAACCCTGGCGTCCCCAGCCTCACAGGCAATCGCGAACACCAATCCCACTTTGTTTAAGAGACTTCCGTACAGGCAGGCTAAAGAGCGGCTGCAGACCCTCCAGGACGCGGAAAACGCATCTCCCTGGGACGGGTACTCAAGTGGGTTGGACACCCACACTCACATTGCATTGTCTGAGCTCCTCCTTCTTAGCCTCCAGTTCGGCCTTCAGGATGCCGAACGCCTCGTCCTCGCGCGTGAGCGCTGCCACGCGCGCCTGCAGCACCTCCACCTCGGTGTCGCGCGCGCGCAGCCGCTCCACCAGCTGGACGTCGCTCTGGTGGCCCTGCTGCAGCTGCGCGCGCATCTGCTTCATCTCCCGCTCGCAGACGGCTGCGTCCGCCTCCGCCTCCTTCTTGTCGTGCAGCGCGCGCTTGTACTCGCGCTGCAGGTGCTCCAGCTCGCGCTGCGCCTCGGCCAGGCGAGCGGCCACGCCAGCAGCGCCGGCCGCAGCCTCATCGTCGCGCTCCTCCTCGCGCTCCTCCAGCTGGCGGGCGGCCAGATCGGCGCGGCACTTGAACTCGTCACGCTCCTCCATGACGGCGGCCAGCTGTTCGTCGAGTCTCTCGCGGCTCTGAGCGGCGCGCCGCTGCAGCTCCTGCAGGCGCGTGTCGGCGGCAGCCCGCTCGGCGGCGGCGGCCGACTCTCGCTCGGCCAGCTCGACCGTGTGCTGCTCCGCCTGCTGCTGCAGTGCGGCCAGGTCGACAGCCAGCCGGTCCCGGTCGGTGCGCAGTTCGGCCAGCTCGGCCGAAGCCGCTCGCTGGTCTCTGTACCTGGGCTGAGTGGGCCTCTGCCGTGACCAGCCGCTCGCTGGCCGCCTGCAGCTCAGCGACCTCAGCCGTCTGGGCGGCGAGACGCTCAGTGAGCGAGCGCAGCTCAGCCGTCAGCCGCTCGTTGGCCGCCTGCAGCTCGACCGACTCAGCCGTCTTGGCCGCCAGCTGTTCGTCTGCCGCCTGAAGCTGGGCCGCGACTCGCTCGCTCGCTGTCCGCAGCTCGGCCTGGCCGGCCGTCTCGGCGGTCAGGCGCTCGGCGGCCGTCCGAAGCTCGGCAGCCAGATGGTCGCGCTCCTCCGACGCCCGGGTCGTCTCGGCCGTCAGCCGCTCGCCGGCCGACTGCAGCTCCGCCGTCAGTCGGGCGTTCGCTGCCTGCAGCGCGGCCAGCTGGGAGGTCGGCGATTCCGCCTCGGTGCCGGGCGCAGCGACCTCCTCCGCGGCGGCACCGAGGACCTCTTCCGCAGCGGCAGCGGCGGCCTCCTCCGCGGCGGCGCCGGCGACCTCCTCCACGGCGGCACCGAGGACCTCTTCCCCAGCGGCACCGGCGGCAGCGGCGGCCTCCTCCGTGGCGACACAAGCGGCAGCGGCGGCGGTATCCTGAGGCGGGCACGCGACTCTCAGCGGCTGAGCGAAACTCCCGAGGCCGGGACGCCAAGTCAAAACAACTTCAAAGAGTGAGCCGAGCAACGAGGCCGCAGTGGGACAGCTGGCGCGCCGTCGTTTGACACTGTGCTGGTCGCCAGCACGCACTGTAGGTCCCGGTTTCGGGGCCGACCGACTCACCTCCCGCTCCTGCGCCACCTGCTGCCGCTGCTCCTCCAGCAGCTGACGCTCAGCCTCTTCAAAACCGCACGTGTCGTTGAGGTCGGGCGGCGCCGAGCGCTTCTCGAGAGCCGCACGGGCCGGCGTGGTGGCAGCCAGGTACCTGCAGCGGCGGGCCAGCGGAGCCGGCGGGTCAGCCCCAGAAACAGGCGGCGTGCCAGCGGGGGAAGGCAGCCCAGAGAGGCGCGAGGCCTGAAGCGGTGGCTCGTCAATCTACGCTTGAAAACGCCAGCGCGCAGCGCGAGTCGCCAAGCAGCAGATTTCTACCAGCAGTGACTCCGCAAACGTGACGGAAACTGGCCTTCCCAACAACACCAACCGGACGATAACAAGAAAGACAGCTAATACCATTAGTGCTCTTCAAAACAAAGAGCAGAACCAAATGCCACCAGGGCAATATAGAGCAGTCAGCAGCTGGCAGCACAGCCCGAGGAGGAGATATCTGGCCGCGGGCGGTCGCCAGCTAGCCCGTACCGCTTGGTCATGTCGACCATAACACGCTCCTGCTGAGTCAGCTGGGTGCTGAGCTGCTGGTTGGTGGTGAACAGACGCTCGCTCTCGCCGGCCGCCAGGTCCCGCTCCAGCTCCAGCTCGCGCTGCTGACGCACCGCCTCCTCCCGGCTCTCGCCCACCTGCCGACAGCGGACACGGCAGCCTTACAGCCCGGCGGCGGGCACGGCAGCCTTACAGCCTGGCAGCGGACACGACAGCCTTACAGCCTGGCAGCGGGCACGACAGCCTTACAGCCCATCACCCGCCGCCAGACCGCGTGATGCGGTCGTCACAGGCCAACATCATGTCTCCTGCCTACGGCTGCCGCCTCCTCCTCCAAACTCCGGTTCCCACCTGGAGCAGTCTAATTGCTGCTGCCAACATAATGCCTACTTCCCCACTTTCCTTCATACACGTCACGAGTGGCATCAGCTCCTATTATGCCTGGCCTGCTTCCATCTTGGATTTGGTACGCATCAACACTCCACAACTCCCGGCACTTAAGCCCATGGTATTGAGGTCGCGGTAAGTCATTATACTGAATACGATACCACAGTGAAAAGGAACGTTTCATAAAAGGAATGCAAAAACAGGCCGCCAGTGCAGGCAAGTGCAGTGTCACACGTCCACCAGCCGCACCTTCTCCTCCAGCTGTCGGTTCTGGCGCTGGAGGGCGGCGTGCGCCTGCGTCAGATCTGACACCTGCGCCTGCAGCGTCTCCACCTGGGCGCGCAGCTGCAGCGTGCCGGCCTGCATCGGACTAGCCACCTGCCGAACAACGCACACACTGCAGCCTCCACATCGCACCGGCAGGGAAAGCAGCGCGTCTGCGCACCCTCGCGGACACCTTCAGGTGGACTTTTACTACTATAAGCAGTCTTGCATGCAATACTTCCTACAAGTTACATCATCCCTTCACATATCTGAACTTGATGGCTGTTGAACTATCTGAACTTGATGAACATTGCACCTTCTCTGCGAGAGAACCGTGACAGCGTAGGCCATCTTCAGCTGTCGGCTCCCGGTGTACGAACGAGCACGTGAAGCCCACGGGGCCGAGGCCGCACCGCCACACCGCGCGGATAGGCCCCTGCAGCCCCCCCCCCCCCCCACCGTCCTCCTCCGGCGCTGTCCCACCTGTCGCAGCATGGCGCCCGTCTTGGTGCGCAGCGAGCGGACACGACTGTTGAAGCTCATCTCGACGGTGGCGGCCTCTTCCTCCTCCTCCCGGATAGACAGCTCCGCCGGCTGGGCCAGCGCCCGCTGGCCGCACGCACACTGTCCGGTCCAGGCGGCACCGGTCAGCACCGCCGGCTCGCCCGGCCGCCGGCATGGGCGTTACCAGCCACTGTGTCCCGCCAGACAGCGCACGGTGGCTAGTATACAATGGCGTCGCCCACCGCCTCCGCCCAGAGGTGGCAGCGCGGTGGGTGATGTCGCGCACTTAAGCCAGAGTACCGCCAACCCCCGAACCAAAAGCCATGGGTCAGGCCACTGGACAGCCGGCGCCAGCAAACCAACCACAGCGAAGCGCCTAGTCAGGGCCCATCACGTCGAAAATACCCGCCTGCGGCCATACCACCAATATAGCCGTAATCACGACATTAATCTACCCGCAATCACGACACTAATATAGCCGTAATCACACTAATATAGTCGTAATCACGACACCAATATAGCCGTAATCACTATAGCCGTAATCGCGACACCACGGACAACCGCTACGGATGCCGCACGAGTGGCTGCCGCTGTCGAGAGCAGTGCGCGGCGGGTAGCGGGCGGCCGCAGGATGTCAGCACGCGGGCCGAGGCTCGACTGGCTACTGACCCGGTCCGCCCTGCGCTGCAGCTCCTCCTCCAGCTCGGCGATGCGTTGCGAGCGGCCGGCCAGCAGCTGCTCCAGATCCTCCTGGTGCGCCTGGCGACCCACGAGCACGCCTCAGCCGACGTCGCCAGTGGAGCGGTGACCATCGGCCGGGCCACTCTCGACACCACTCCCCGGTGGCAGCGGACACTCCGTGGTCACAGCGCCACGGCTCTCTGGGTGGCAAGCTCAATTCGCTCTATTTCCGAACTGTTTTTTCCCAGCAATCCCCGGAGCCGACCTGATGGCGCGTGGCTACCGCCGACCAGACCGACCCGCTGTGGCGCCGGGGCAGCGGTGCCGCCGCCGCCAGTCGGGGCGGCCCGCTCACCAGATGGTCACGCAGCGTCTCGTCCCGCTCGGTGAGACGGGCCTCCAGCAGCGCCACCTGCTTCTGCAGCCGCTCGCTGGCCGCCTCCAGCTGCAGGAACTCGTCGCCGCCCTCCTGCAGGTACTCGCGGGTCTCTCGCAGGTCCATGTCCCGGAACCTGGCGGCCGCAACCGACGCCGGCCTCAGCGATACTGTGATGCCGGGCGGCACGTCTGGGGCGGACGCTGGGCTCTGGGGCGGACCTGACGTCTGCAGCGGGCACCGCGATCTCCGGCGGACAGCGTGATGCCCGACGGACAGCGTGATCCCGGACAGACAGCGTGACCCCGGACAAACAGCGCGATCCCGGACAGACAGCGTGATCCCGGACAAACAGCGCGATCCCGGACAGACAGCGTGGTCCCGGACAAACAGCGCGATCCCGGACAGACAGCGCGGTCCCGGACAGACAGCGTGATACCGGGGAGCAGGGTGGCTGGTGCACCAGGACGCCATGGTGTTACGGGAGTCGAGCGCTGGAGGCTGGGTACGGCTCACGTGAAAGCATACAATGTCAAGCACATGACAGCCAACACGTGATAAGTTTCTGTGGATGATCTTGCCTAAGCACCCCATGGTCGCAGGTCAGACCTGCACCTGGCGGCTCCGATGACAACACCATAAGCCACGTGTCTGTATACTGGCCACCCGAGGAGTACACAGACCGACGTCGAAGCGTCCGTACCTGAGATCATCTTGCAGTTTGGCCACCTGCTCCGTCAGCTGCGCCACTAGCGGGTCATCCGCTTTGCTCTCAAGATGTCGGCGACAGCGGGCCTCCGCTTCGTCCTGCGGCAGGCGGGCCGGGTCAGCGAGGGGCCGCACAGCCCCGGCTCCGCAGCGGACAGAGCAGGGGGTGGGCAGCGACGCCCGGTGTAGAGTGCCGGCAGACAGCCACCACACAGCCCCGGCTCCGCACTGGACAGGGCAGGGGGTGGGCAGCGGCGCCCGGTACAGGGTGCCGGCAGACAGCCACCACACAGCGGCGGCCGGCCGCACCATCTACATCCGGATGCCGTGCAGCCACTGACCGCGGTGCGGCACCGACCGGCGCTGGCTGATCATGTCCGGCTGCAGGTCGGGTCAAACTGGCCGACCCCGGCGGCCGTCCAAGCAACACAGAATGCCTGGTCTTCCGCTTGTTGGAACTACACTGATCGCGTCCCCACAGTTTGCGGCACGCCGGCAGCCTTCAGCGCAGCGCCCCAGTGACGGTCACTCGACCGCAGCTGGCCACCGAGCCCGGTCTCACAGGCTGGCAGCTCTGCAGCAGTGACGGTGGCTGGATGACAGCTTAGTCAGCCCATTCGGTCCTGCCACAGCTCACGGCACACCGGCTGCGCGATAGTGGCTCCGCCTCCACCGGCCACTGACCAGGTCACGCTGCAGCCTGTCGCCGGCCTGGCGCGCCTCGGTCAGCTGGACGGCCAGCCGCGCCACCTCCTCCTGACTCTGGGCGGCGCGCTGCGCCAGCTGGCGCCGGTCGGCCGCCTCGGCCTCCAGCTGCTGCTCCAGCAGCTGGCAGCGCTGCTCGGCGGCGGCGGCCCGCTCCTGCGCCTCCTACCGGCCAGGCGGCGTCATCAGCGGGCATCGCCGCCGGGACAAACACGCAGAGATCGGCTCGGCGGGCGACTAACAAGCGGGGGCACCGGCGACGGCGACAGGCGGGAGACGTGCCCAGTGATGCACCACCGCACAAGCAGACGCCGGGCGGTCCAGTGATGCCCACCGCACCGGCAGGCACCAGGCGGACCTACGTCATTAAGGCCATCGCAATTGTATTTTAGCCAACTTAGTTATGTCGGTGTCGGGAATAGCGGACGGAGCGTCATGGAGCGA